CCGCGGTCGTCTGGACACAGGTGGCGTAGTGATTCAACCAGTGGAGGATGAAGAGCTGGGCGATTTATCAGCTCGACGAATTGCAGCTGTGAGGTTCGTGAAATTCCCTCGTAATATCTGTCAGAAGCGATGGGTGTGCGGCTTAGGACCGAAGAGCCTGGCATAAATCGACCGCATGTATGAGAACATCATATAGTAGCATCATTGACATCGGTCCCCGCAGTACCTGTTCAGAAAGTCTTAGCAATTTTCTAAAAGCAGCTGTCTTGAGCGGATCTTTGACGATGACACGCATCGAGAAAATATTGTCAGTTCTCGTTTTTTTTTAGATTTGATCGAAATCATCGGCTTATCGCAGATTTGTTTAGTGGTAGTATTGTCACGGATACTCGAACCATATTGGCGCAAAATCGCATTGAAATGTTGAAAAAACAGGCAACTTCTCTGGCACTGCATCAGGTATTCCCCATCGTGAGCGTCGTTGGCTCCCTGGTGCATTTTGTTTGGTGTTAGTGAAGTGTTGTAATTCCAGAAATAAGAACAAGTGAAGCTCTTTTAATACCAAAATTAACGTATGTATTAGATGCGCTATTCGAGGCATTTCTTTTCTGCTCGTAATCTCTGCTGCATGAACACGTCTTCTCTTCGCAAGCCGCGGTTTGATTGATGTTACTCGTTTGTTTGAGATGTCTACTAACAGTATACGCATTACATTTATAGTGAAGAATTGTTAAGAGATGTTTGCTTTTTAGAGCAAATTGGACGACGAGCTGATGAAATTAGGTGAAGTTTTTCAAGCAAAAAAACGAGCTATGGAAGTGGCATCTGAAGAGTTTGCTGTTAAGCTGAAGAAAGTATGCGATGAAAAACCGCAGGTTGGCCCATGAATTGAGTAGTCGATCTTGGGATCCTATATAATTTCGATTCCATACATTCCGACCCGTGAATTATTGCTATTCTTTTTTTGATATTTTCTTTCTCAAATTTCTACTAAATTCAACTATAAATACATCTGTGACTTAATGAAAGGGAAAGGGGGGTGGAGGGAAAGAGGGAGGAGATGGAGAAAAATGAAAGAAGGAAAGGCAGGGGTGAGGGGAAGGAGTGGTCAAAATTGGATTGACAAAGATTTTTTTCTTGGCCAACAGGTACCGCATTTCACCAACCACGTTACTCGTGCACCTTTATACTTTATTTTGTTCAAGTAATCGTGGTGCACTTTCGGGCCACCAGAACAGCTGGCAACTCTTCCATGGCTATTAATTGTCCTCGGGGTAACTTCAAGAACAAAGTAAATTTGTAGATTGATGAGGCAAAATATATATCGATGGTAGATGACTGGACGGAAAAACTAATGAAGGCATACGACGAATACAAAACAAAACAGGAAGCATTGCGAGCTAAGCAAAGTAAACATTTTCCTTAGAATCGTTCAAACTGTTTAAACTTTGCTAAAATTTATAGAACTTTTTGAAATGGTTCGTATGTTTCACACGCTGACGAGCTTAGTGCGGTAGCGATTATCCCTGCTGCCATACAAAGGATCGAAGGTTTGAATCCGCCTGTGAAATAATAAATCCCTATACGGTTCTCTCGGTTTTTGTGATAGTAATGTGGTACTAGCATATGCCAAGGTGTCAAACCCGGTATTATCTTAGTTGTAGGCTCTCCCGGTATTATCTTAGAGATAGCGATCGAAAACACCTTGCCAACGGGTAGCTGAAATACTTTCGAGCACACCTCCTTTCATAAAGAGCGAGTGCAGAGGACTTTTGATTTTTCCTGTTTAAAATATGAGGGATTTTAAGCTTGCTTTAGATTTTCCTCAAAACTCAACTTTCATTAAAAAATGTTTGCCAAACCAAAGTTTGGATCGCTGTTTTTTGTGGACAGTATAACTCTTGTGTTTTGAAATTAAGTTATGAATTGGTTACTCTAAAAGTTAGAACTCATATGTTTGCAACTTTATATGAGTCTAAGCGGATAATAAGTTTTTAGCCGTATGCTTCAAAGGAGCGTGTAATGTTATCCAGGGTTTTGTTTTCTAGTTGTAGAGCGTGAGCAACTGGCCGAAGAGACGCCAATTTTATATCGACTCACTGTTGGTGACTCATCGCCTTCGCCGAAGAATAAAGTATCTGATGAGATCCAGTCACCACAAGTGACAACCACGGATCAACAGCAGCAACAGCAGCAGCAGCAACAGCATTCACAACATCCATCAGTTACCACTACTGCTAGCAGTGGCACCACCACCACTGCTCCTACCGCAGCGCAACTAGTCCAAGCACCATGCATCGGAGTACCAGAAAACGAGAAAGAGCAGCCACAACAGCAATTGCAACCTCAAGAAGCTGTTACCTGCTCCCAAACACCGGAAATTCAAGCGAACAGCGTCCCGGTAACTCAGTCTGATCAGTGAATACTGAGAGAAACGACTGGTCTTTGGGTTTTTTCCTCAGATTTGAATATTATTGGATGTATTATTTTGCTACCACAGTTTTTACGTTGAGCAGCTGTAAATTCACAATATGGTGTTGAGCAAAATTTTCAGCTTTTTCGACTAGGGATGAAACACAGACAGGCTAGCAAGTCACTGTAAGAACAGACTTGCCTATATGGGAGATCTCAGTGGCACTTCCAGTGTTTTCATTAATTATCAAAATTCCACTATGTTCCTCTCCACGGTGGGCCAGCAATGCCAGCCAGCTGCATATACACTGGTCGGCGTTTAGCGATAATTACGTTCGTTTGTTCTCTCGGCATCATCTCGATGGAAAAAACATATGTAAAAGAGGTGGGAGCGATGGGGCAAAGAATGATTGGCGTGTCTGTTTGTAATCATGTAAGATTGTCCGTCAGATGAGCGGCGTGTACAATACCATTGCGGCTACGCGATTAAGTAAAATTCGATGAGCGCGGCACGTCGCTCCTGTTGTCGATAATCGATGGACTTCAAGCATCAGTGAGTAGTACCCGTGAGAAACCCAGGCTGGGACGCACCAGGCGAGCCAGTGCGATCATGTGTTTTTGCATCAAACTTCGAAGTGCCGTCTCTCCTA